AGTGTCCATTAGATATTGAGATAGAAACTATAAATTAATAATTGTATCAAAGTCACAAAACGAGTCAAATTTCTCTACATATTTGGTTGATGAACTACTGAAAAATTTGATGCAAATACTACAAGATCCACAGGAGACAAAATGGAAGTGTCTAAAATCTAAATTGCTAGTCTTATTAATCTGCTATGAACTTATTCTAAATGTTAGTTAATTTTTTTAATGGCTAGTTTGAAGAATTTGTTCTGCAAATTATTCCACAATCCAACCCCACTCATTCGCTACCCAACCAACCTAACCCGAAGACAGAATGTGAGTGGATAATGAGTCATAATTATATCAACTCGATAGTAAGCCGATGCTAATATCAATATGAGGAAAATAAAATACTAGCATTCCTCTAGTGCCAATAACTAATTTGTTCAACCATTATAGTGCTACTCCTTCTCTACACATACTCACATTTCTCAACATTTCCCTTGCTGATGCTCCCAATGTAGTTAGCTTAAGGACTCTTTATGACACCGCAGGCTTCTCTTATAACTTAATAGTCAACCAAGCTAATTAGAAGAGCATCTCCCACTTGAGCAATTCTAGAGACTTGCAAGTTTATGTGGTATGTAGTGTCGGAGCCAGAAATTTGAATGAGGGAGACTAAAATTTTACACAGAGAATTCGAACTGGTGAGGGAGGACCTAACGCCATATTAACTACTATATTTTGCCAATTTATTACAAAATTTACTTATACTTTTACTAAACACGAAATATAATACGATTATTTAATGTACAAAAGCATTGAATGAAACTTTGGCAATAGAGAGAAGACAATTCGCAAAAGAGAAAGATGATTTGGTTTGTAATAATCGTTTTTTTACATTACAAAACGGAATTTTGAGAGTTGACGAGGGTCTATAGCCTCCCCTGTCATTACCATAGCTCCGCCATTGATGGCAAGTGATAAGGAATGCAATTATATCTTTAAATGACATTGATGTGTGATGTAGGGTGGAAATTTATATCATATACAATTTTTATTGCAATTCAAAGGGACTCGTAGGTGGAACTCTTCGTTATCCTTATTATATATTTAAGGAATTAAAATTATGAAAATAGTGTATAGATTATATTAAACTAATGTGATGATTCCACCCATTGAAATTGCAAAGGAATTTCATTGATATAGGTAGGATGAAATTGAGATATTGTATTTTCTTAAGATTAATATGTTTGTCTGGTTTGAACTTTTCCATATTTAATATCCTGATCAATCTTTTTACAAAAAAAAAAAAGAAAGAAGAAACATCCTGATCAATCTTTTTCATATATAAAATCGTGGCATCAACTAATCCTAAACTTTACTAAATTGACCAAACTCAAGAGTTCATCGCCAACTCAGCTTGAATAAACTTAAAAAAATTCCTAAATTCCTCATATTACTAATTTGGAATTATTATAATTAAATTAAACAAAGATTTTCCTCACCGGAAGTTCGCACCAAGACCGTGTTCTTCTCGAGGACATGACACGAAACCCTAGTCAGCGACCGAGATTGGTTACTTCCTGCGAGTGTCGGGTATTCTCCTCATCTGTCGACCTCATTGAAGTGGAACTGAATGTGGCGGTGCGAGACAGTTCTATCATCGATTTTGAAGTTGTTGCTTCTATCAAGAACGGTGATGGAGTCACGGTGGAGCTCTGTTTTGTAGCCGTTGTCGCCATCGATCTCCATAGAGGCGATGGATTGGAGGGAAATTGGAGGGAAATGATTTTTGGTGGTGGAAATTGTAAGGGAAAGACTATATTGAATGGTGAGGCATGCATGCGCATAGGGGTGACTATATGATCCGGTCTGGTTAAATTGACCCAAATCGATCCGGTTCCAGTTTGGTCTTTTTGGGAATATAAGGACCAAAGATTGGATTGGATACAATCCGGTCTTGATCCGACCTGGTCCCAATTCGGTCTTGATTTTATATTGAGATTGTGGGATTTTAGTGTCCTAGGGACTGAAAGGGTGAGGAGTTGGTTAAGTTTTGGGTCTTGGGCTCTCTTATCCGGTCTTTATTCAATTTCCGGTCCGGTCCAAACTTTTTTTTACCTCAAATCTAAGCCCGAAGATGGGATCGAATTGTTTGTTATCCGATCCTGGTATATGGTCCGATTTCGGGTAAAACCAAAAGTGTGGACTCAATAACCACCCCTACATGCACAAGTGAAGCCAAACAGCCGCTGTTGAGACCAGCCAAGACCTGAGAATCAGAACGAGAGAGCTGCTTCCGACGACGATTCAAAGGAGCGGGAAGGCGAAGGAGATTGTGGTTTTGAGTATGTACTACCACGAGGAAACGACGTTTCAGCGGGATTAGATCGAGGCAATGGCGGATCTAGCGGCGAATCTCGAAGCAGAGGGTTTCCAACGGTGAGGCGAATTTGAGAGTTGCAGAGGAGTTAAAGGCGAGCTTCAAGGTGGAGAAGATGAGGCGAATGGATTGGGAGCTTAAGTTTTTTTTTTCATTTGGGTCAAACTAAATAGAAAATGGTAATATGTCAAAAAATTTAATATTTTAAGTTAAAAGATGTTGAATTGGAGGTTACGTGGCGGGTTGACCGTTAGTCACCGTCAGTCAATGATTTTTACCGTCAGTCATAACGATCAACCCTGGGTTTGGCCCATTTAGTAAAGTTTAGGGTTAGTTCATGCGACAATGTTATATTTCGAAAAGATTGGCCATAATGTTAAATATGAACAAAAAAGTTCAAGTCAAGCAAATATAAGAAAAGTTGTAGAGATGGAAGTAGGGGGTAAGATCAGGTGACTAAGGGAGGTCCCCTTACTCATGTGACTAAGTGAATCCTAGGCCTTCAACCTCATTAAAATCTGATGGTTCTAATTAATCTAATTAAATGAAGGACATTGTGGTAAGATTCTTTTAATTTTTAACTATTAAATGATTTTTTCTCCGTCCCGTCTCTTCTCCTCCCACGGCGAGGGAACTTTCCCGTCGCCGGCAAGGGACTTTGCAATTCTGTCTCGTCTCTTCCCTTTCCGCCGGCCAGGGAACTTTCCATTGCCAGCCAGGGAAACTCCTCTTTAGTGCAACTTTCAATTACAACTTATTAGAGAGAGAGACTTCTGGTGACTGCGGCAGAGAGGATTTTCTGCCGATGCGGGATTTTTCGGCGGCAAAGCCAACTTTGTGATGTTTGTCGAACTATTTTATAATGTTGGTAAGTCTAGTTTGTTATGTTTGTAGCGATTCAGTTTGTATAGTTTATCATTTTAGTTTGTCATTTTATCTATTATGTTTGTAATTTTTATGCGACTAATTTGTAATGTTTATCTATTATTGTAATTTGTAATGTTTGTTTGTCTAGTTTGTATATTTTATGTTATGATTTTTATACTTTGTATTCATTATTTTGTAATACAAGTTTATAGATTTGTATTGTAAGTAGTGACATCTTGTACTGTTAGTATGTTTTGTAATGTTTGTCGATTTGTTATGTAATATTTGTAAGCTTTGTTATTTTTTAATGTTTATAAGGTTTTTTATTTTTGTCCATCATGCTTGTCATTTTTTTCAACCATATTTGTAATGTTTTTATGACTAAAAAACACCCTGATTGACTTTTGGACGAAACTCCTCTATATAGAGATAGAGCCTCCAAAGTCAACCCGAGTGATTTTCCATTTTGTATGGTTTGTCGGTCTAGTTTGTCATTTTTGTCCCTGATGTTTGTAATGTTTGTATGTCTAAAAAACAATCGGGGTGACTTTGAGACGGAACCCCTCTATATAGGGATGGAGTCTGCAAAGTCAGCCTGGTTGTTTTGCATTTTGTATGATTTGTATTGTTTGTCGGTCTAGTTCGTATTTTTGTATTGTTTGTAAATCTATTTGTATGTTTTGTTATTCTAGTGTGTATTGTTTGTAAGTCCGGTTTGTATATTTCATAATTTTTCATAATACCCAAATTACCATTGTCACTAATTAAAAACCCTTTCCCAGTTTGAAATGTTAGATTGATGTGTTTAAATCAAGTATTGGAAAGGACTTGACTTAGCCACATGTGGAATAGAAACTTCTTAATTGATTCAAGAAGCTTTTCTTTGCGGTTATAATGCCAAAATATCAAATTATGTTGACTCAGATCCGCCTCTGTAAGTAGGTACCAATGAAATTACAAATAAATTCCTTTGGAGATGCTCTAAGCTTTCAGACTGACGCAGTGACACCTATTTCCAATTGTTATGAAGTGGACAGAAATGTCTAATCCATTGCCCACCTACCCAAAATGGGGTAAATTGCAAAGTTGGTCACTGAAAGTGTTGAAAAATTCATGTTTGGTCACTAAAAGTATTTTATTCCATTCGTGGTTACTGAAAGTGGTTAAAATTTCACGTTAGGTCACTCTCCGTTAGTCTCCGTCAGCATCCGTTAACATTGTCAGTTTTTTTCTGACGTGACTAACAGAAATGCTGATTCACCAAATTTTAACCCGCCACATCAGACCCTCAGCATAACCTAACCCTATTTTTTTTAACCCCTAACCCAACCCTACTCGAACCGACCAGACCCCACCTACCTTCCCACCACCGCCGCCGCCTACCATCCCCGCATGCCACCATCACGGCCTTGGCCCTCCTCTCCTCCTCCTCCTCCTCCCTCCTCCTCCTCCTCCTCCTCTATGACCTCCAAGTTGGAGGCTCCAACAGTCTTTTCCAATCCCTTCTCTCTCTTCCAATCCCTCCTGTCAACTCCCCCACAAAGCTCAATGGCGGCTCTCCGCCCAAATCTTCCCCCAAGCGATGGGCGGCCAGAGATAGCAAGAAGACGAAGATCTAGGATTAAAACTTGGACGAGACTTTTTGCTGAGAACCAGATCGATGTTGGTTGCTTTTGCCCCTCTCCACCCTCCAATCCTCCGAACACAACAACGCCCTCTAATCCTCCGACTATCTGTTTTCCCAATTCGAGGTCTTCCCCAATCGTCGTCTCACCTTCTCATCTCTAGCGATTCGAGGAGCGGCGATGCGAAGTTTTAATTCGGTCTTTTTCTCCGAATGGAAAGTCGGTGATGGATTGACCTTAATAGAGAGACAGAGGCACGTAGTGAGAGCAGAGGAGCACCGTCGGTGAGAGAGATAAAGCTGGAAGGAGGGAGATCGAAAGCCGTCATCCTCTCGCAACTCGTCGCCGACGCTCTTCACTCTCTTGTCCTTCCTTCGATCAGAAATCACAAATAATCAAAGTGGGAATAGAGGCGACAGTTCATAGAGGAAGGAGAAACAAGGAAAAAGAAGAGAGGCTCGGGTGGGGATTGAATTAGGTTGGTTTATGTACCGGGTCTTATGTGACGGGTTATATGACATGGCGGGTCAAATTTTATGATGTGGTCGGTTAAAATTTGATGAATCAGCATTTCTGTTAGTCATGTCAGCAAAAAACTGACGGTGTTAACGGAGGCTGACGGATACTAACGGAGAGTGACCAAACGTGAAATATTAACCATTTTCGGTAACCACGAATGAAATAAAATACTTTCAGTACCAAATGTGAATTCTTTTAGCACTTTCAATGACAACCTTGCAATTTACCCACCCAAAATGAAAAGTCTCGTGACCAGATCAGACAAATCTACAAACTTTAAAAGTCGGAACCAAAATTCTCTTGCTAGATTCTGAGGCAAGCTTCATTGTGATTTGGCTCATTAGCCACTACAAAGCCCCACAGACAAAGGGTTGTAGTTGTACAAGTGAGAATCAATTCTTCCCATACCTCCTTAAACAGAGACGAAATGCCTCATCTCAACGACCCTACAACTAGGGATTCGTCACATTATCTCCTGCGTCTGAAAAACATTTTGTAATGTAAACCCTTCTAGCCAAAAAACGACTATAGATCAGGCTCGAGAAAACGCCGAGGCAATCTCCTTTCTTCACCAGCACAGCCCAATAACCAACCTATTCCTGAGACACGGAAGAAAAGAGATGGTGTGGCATTACAAAACAGAACTAATCACAACGGTGACAATAATCCCTGCACGGACAAAATGAAAACCAGAAACCTACCTGATCCATATCTGTAGGTCCAGTAGGGATCTCATCAGTGGTCATTTCCTCGTCTTTTTCTCCTGCACTAGTGTCTGACTGGGGCACTTCATCGAAAAGTTTCAAATCCGCTGGAAGCTGCCCCGTGCTCAATGCCTGCCATCATTCACCAATAGATAAAATGTTAACTTGAATAATAACACGGGTGGAGACGGAAATTATCGGTTGTGATGACCACATCAGGCTAAATAGAAAGTATACCTTCTCTAGTCTTGCAACTTCTTCAAGAGTTTGAGAATTCACAATGGCAGCCTGTTCGGGAAACACGTAGCACAACCAAGTAAATCAACTAGTAGAACATTACACTCGATGCAAATAGAAACAATATAGCCAGGCATTTTCAAGTAGTTTTTTCAAGGACAGTACCTTAATAGCTATGATTTGTTCCGGTGTGGGTCCTACCACCTTTGCATTCTGTTGTTCCCCTGCAACATCCACATCAATAGGAGCCTCAGCAGGGGTGAAAGGCTTAACAACTTCTTTTTTAGCTTCCTCTTCTACTTCCTTAGATGCAAATAAGATCTCTGCCTCTGCTCTCTCCTAAACATCCAAATCCATTTTTATCAGCAAAATGCAAACGTGATAACAGATGCAGGAATAAGGCAAATAGCAAGTACATATAAAGCAGCTACAGAGCCGATCTTCAACAGTAGATGATGTGAAACAAGCACTGTAAATTAGCAAGTCCCCAACTTTATGGAAGGTGACTACTTAAGGACTGACTTCCAATTTCTAACTTATTCATGAGTGATGATCTACAGAATGAGCAATAAAATTCAAGAGGGCATCAAACCACATTTCAACCAAGTATAGGCAAAAAGAACCAGCAAATGAATTTGAAGGTATGCTTCGGAAAGGCTTTATCCCCTGCTGGAGGAAGCACAGATACACTGTCTGACTATATTGCCTTGAAAGCCTCCAATCGTCAAAATCAATAAAAAGTCATGGCCTCCCGTAAGAAATGGTAGAGAAAATGCTATTGGACTATTTGAAAAGGGTAAAGGTTGGGGTTCCAAATCTTCCTTGAGCGTTCAGGACCAAGGACGAAAAGAGAATCCGCCGCAGGAGAAGTGTTATAGAAGCCAAGAGGGAAAGAGATTCGGAGGAGTAAACAATGGAATCTATAAGCTTTGCCTAGTTAAAAAATGAAACAAATAAAGCCAGGACGGAAAATGGGAAAGGAACATTCATGGATTCTTTACTTGAAATACGAGTATAGATACATAAAAGTAACTGAGACATACAGTATCTGAACATGACCTCACCTTTGCTTTCACTTTCTTGAAATCAAGAACTCGAAGGGATTTTAGTTTGAAAATTACATACAGCCTATAATTGGGCCTTTTTGTGATGTTGTTGTCTAGAAGACTGAGGAACTGCAGTTTTGGAAGAGAGGCGAGAGGATCGATCTCCACCAAATTGACAAGTCTGTTGTTTGTCAGAACTAATGAATGCAGTTTCGGCAAGAACTCTGTAACATAGAAGAACAACATAATAATTGAGGAACATTGGCCACACTTAAAGTAAGATGTTTACTTCAGTACACGTGCACACATTTAACATCCGTTCGAAGTTTCAAACATTACCTCCGATTCTAGAGCTAATACGGGTAATCCTGTTGTTATTCAGTAGCACAGTGCCAAGCGATTAAGAAATGGCAGGTTTTCCAGCTTGACAATCTCATTATCAGACAAATCAATTGTATCAAATTGGTCCTGCAAAACAAATGGAGGGACTCATTTATTGCAGAGAGCTTGAACTCAGTATCTGTAGCATAACCTATCAAAGAAAGTAGCAGAGTACATTCAAACATAACAGCTGAATGACCCCAGCAGCGGGTAAAGCTAACTGGTCCCACATGGCATAGAGAAGCGATTTGAAAGAAATAAAAGAGACTCCTCAGAAGCAGGAATCACAATGACACTATGCAGGCTTGTTAGCTACAAAAAATATGGGGAAGACTCAACTTTTACGAACTATATAACTCCAACTTTAGCATATGCTTCAATCACACACTAGAATGTGACGAAGCAAGTTGCAATTGACCCAAAACCAAGATTAGCTTTCTCACAATAAGCAGGCTTGAGGACTATCACAAATGGTCAATGGAATGCTCTAATTTGAGTAACTAGTAAACCTCAAGTTTGGCATACGCTTAATCAGTGACTATGCTGACAATACTTCAGTGCAACGTGCAGCCAAGATTAGCATTCCTAACTAACCCTTTACGTATCCTGTATAAAAAGAAACGAGCAGCAAGGAGTTGGAGAAAAAGAAAATTACCTCGGTAGCACCCAAATTCTCAATGACAGGGATCTTGTTACCTGAGATAGCCAAAATGCGAAAGAGAAGAGTTCCTCAGAGTAAACAAGTACACAACTTAAACGTGTTCACAGAGAGTGGCATGCGAGAAGCAAAACCCTAAACCCACATGGAGTAGCGTAAAGAGCAGAACCCTAAAAACTCCCGCATATGGACAGTAAAGGGTGGAGAGCGCAGAGCAGAGTTTGGCATATACCTCGAAGATCCAATTCACGCTCTTTGATGGCGTTGAAAAAATGAGGGCTCTTCCAAATCAAGTCGGCGGTGAGCCTCACCATCTTCTCCCTGGCAGCTGTTTACTCTAGTGAAGTGAACCCCAGAAGCTGAAGAAGAATGCCTCTCCTTCGACCTCCTGGCAAATCCTACAGCAGGAATCTATCTGAAGAGTTGTATTCTGATAATTCCTAACAAGGTCTACGTTCTTCTAACCTTACCTTTGCCTTCTGAGTTGCGAAATTTTTGAATTCCGGCTTGCTTGCTCATACGTTCGCCAGGAAGAAAGGGAAGGAGAAGGGACCCCGTTTGGCGGAGGGATGGCGGAGGGGAAGCTGGGCCGAGAGAGCGATTCTTGCTCAGCCCATCTCTAGTCATTGGGCCAGCAGAACTTGGCCCAATACGATTACCGATACAGGTGCTCGGTTGGTTCGTACGATCCGATCGGACGGTTCGAGCCGATGAAGAACACAGCGGTCAGCTCCGGCGTCAGCGTCCCAATCCGACACGTAACCTCTACGCAATTTTTTGAAACTGCTCTATCGCTCTCTTCCTACTGACTTTCCTTTTCTTATATAAATCCACTCCTCTCCCTCCCTTCTATCTGTGATCCGTTTTCCGTCCGTTCCCCGAACCAATAACCGCAGAAATATTCATCCAGATATGGAATCCGCGACGGAAGGCATTTCCAAGCTCGGCATCAATGGCGATTTCGCGTCCTCCGTCCCTAATCTGCACAAGAACCTCTCGCTTCTGTCACCTGACCAGGTGAGAATCTTCGGCAGACTCTGTTTCTTTACTGCGTTGGCTGGTTCTGCTCTCATTTCTATCAATCGAAAATGCGATTTGATTTTCTCTTCTACCATTCACCACGATATTTGTGGTTTAATGCTGTGGAAATGGTGGTTGCCGGATCCTAGATTGAGTTGGCGAAAATGCTTGTGGAGATGGGACAGAGTCATTTGTTCAGCCACTGGCCGGAGTCAGGGGTGGACGATGGCGAGAAAAAAGCATTCTTCGATCAGGTCTCCAATTTTATTTCCTTTTTCTGGTTTTAATGGCTTTTATTTGTCCAAAATTGTACTAGCATCTAATCCACGGTTGTGTTTTCGGTGTTCCGCTTAGGTGGCGCGGCTGAATTCAAGCTATCCGGGAGGTCTAGCATCTTATATCAAAACAGCCAGGGGACTCTTGGCTGACTCCAAAACGGGGAAGAACCCTTTCGATGGGTTTACACCTTCAGTAAGTTGATCCAGATAGACTCCATGGTTCCGCTGCTGCAATTACTATTATTATTTGCTGGGGAGTTCAGTGATTTAAAATCATTGCATGATTAGGCCAACAAATGCTTAAGATTAGATTATATGAGTCTTGGAATTTACTTTGAGTATTTCTACATGAAATTTGCCTTACAGTTATTGTTGGGATGGCTAAATTTTTTTACTTGTGGAAGAATGTCTCTAATACTTTGATCTCACAAACAAATGATTTCATAGTGAGATTGTGATTTTCTTGCTTATGAATTACTAAGCATTTAAGCTCACATGATCGAAGAAGATAAAATAAAAGGAGGGTGGTAGAGGCTGGTGCATGATCCTGTGCTTATGAAAATATAGATTATGTATACCGGTGCTCTAAACTTCACGAAAATGGTAATAAATGTCCTCTGTAGTTGTAGGACAAGATTGTGAAGACACTTGTTCAACACACGCATGGACGTGAAAATAGGGTTAGTAGATTGTTGTTCTGACCAAGAGGAAACTGTAGGCAGAACCTCTGTTGTTATGTTAGCACTTAAAGGTTGGATAGTATCATTCTATGTGTCTATGGCACCTGAAGTTACTGAAGGCGTTTCTGAGTGTTGTGATAAGCTTTTGAAAGCATTAACATGAGACCCTTGTTGTATTTTGGTCTTCTCCACCCTTGTTTCTGCCACTTTCTGTTCTTATTTCTTCTCTTGCATGAAAAAAATGAATGCTCCATTATGAAATCAGATGACTGGCTTTGCCGTGCATTCGATGCGTTAGTTAGTGAAACTTATCTAGATGCTGTGCATGGCATATAGTGTAAGTTGACAGCATCTTGTTGCTTTCCTTTCAACATCCCCAATAATGGGAATGGACTATATCTACAAAGTACAAATAATGGGATAGGCTGATGTTAGCTATTATGAATATCAGTTTGTTTTCAATTTCAAGTAATTGGCGCCATTTCTCTATTTAAGCGATGTTAGTAAAGTCGAATGCCTATTTTCAGGTTCCAACAGGAGAGAACCTGAGCTATGGTGACGAAACATTTATGAAATTTGAGGAGGCAGGTGTGAAGGAAGCTCAGAATGCAGCATTTGTGCTTGTTGCTGGCGGGCTTGGGGAGCGCCTTGGTTACAATGGTATTAAGGTAGACATTCTCTCTTTGCATCACTGAATTCTATGGTAAATCCTTGTAGGAATTTGGGCTTCGTTCTGCATCTGTGAAGAACATTTTCTCCAACATTTTGGTAATATTTGGAACTCAGATTCTGTTATCCCTCCCACCCACAATATGCACTGTACTCAATTTACAGTGCTATGTTCCCTACTTGCTTTAACCTTGCACACATTCATTCCTCACTTCTAGTTTGCAGTTTCTTCTTCAATTTTCAGCTCTGAAATTCTTAAACTATTATAGCCATTGAGTGAACCAGGTTCCTGGTACAGTTCAGGATCTTTCTCACTTTACCAAAGACAAACAGAAACCTTCTAGTTAAATAAAAGAAAGATGGTTGTGTTGAAGTCATTGAAGCTATTTGTTGACCAGCCGGTTTGATTTGGTTATGTCCTTATGTATGGCAGGTGGCTCTTCCACGAGAGACTACAACAGGAGCTTGTTTCTTACAGCACTACATTGAAAACGTTCTCGCCCTTCAGGAAGCTAGCTGTAAAGTCACTGGAGGTTTGTGCAAAATTTGTGTATTTTCAAGTTTCAACCACTGACTACCTACTTAAAGTTTAATTGGACTTGATTGAATGTTACGGCTATCCTAGTGTTTTTGCTTATGATATATGAATCTCTTGACATTCATGGAAGCCTCGTTCCCACTGTTCTAAAACATGTCTGTCTTCTGAGAGACCGAATACATGAGTAAATCACATGTGTGTTGAACTTATGTGTTATGCTGGTAGTTTAGCTTCTATAGTTTGTTAAGATTCTAGAATCACCCAATTTAAGCTACCTATTTTTTATACATTATCTTCCCCTTAAATGCCATTTGAAGGTTCAAATTGCGGTGTTGATCTGTGTGTGACCTCTTCCTTTCACAATGTAGGTCAATCTAAAAGGGACATTCCGTTTGCGATCATGACATCAGATGACACACATGCACGTACAATGCAGCTTTTGGAATCTAACTCATACTTTGGGATGAAACCTGCTCAGATAAAACTTCTTAAACAGGTATAACTGTGGTATATGAGGTCTGTTTAGATTGGGAAATTAACAACCTTGTTTAACTATCCCATCCTCAGGAGAAAGTTGCATGCTTAGAAGATAATGATGCTAGGCTTGCTTTGGATCCTCAAAACAAGTTCAGAATTCAGGTGGCTGTCTCTTGTATTAGTACCCTAGGTCTGGTATTACTATATTTCTTATATATTTTCTGCTCAATCACAGACAAAACCTCACGGTCATGGTGATGTTCATGCGCTTCTTTACTCAAGTGGGGTACTTGAAGAATGGTATTGCTTATTGCTTCTGCCATTTCTGAATTCGTTTGTTCCATTCTTGCTCTTCCTTGGTTTATTTGTTTGCCCTTTGTTTGATGCCTATCATGTTTTTTTAATCATGTCTGCACCTTATCTTTTTGGATTATGCGATAATATTGTTGGCGCACCTTATCTTTTATATTTTGTTTATTAGAACTAGTCGACCTTGCATTTGTGCTCATCTTTTATGTCCACATAGACTGCAGAGGAAGGGTTCTTTATTACTAAACGTGTTTTTCTGGCCCTCTACCTTCCATTTCTCGACCCTTTCTTTATGAAGACTTTGCTCACTCATTAAATTTTCTTGTCACTAGTACTAGCAAATTGCATTGTACTCGCAGAAACATATGTAATTGATTTGATTTATTTCCTGTCTTCTTAGGCAGCGTGTTGGTGTGAGGTGGGTTCTATTCTTTCAAGACACCAATGGACTTCTCTTCAAGGTTTGCTTGTTTAATTGAATATTCTATCAAAAGTTGTTCGTGTACATGCAACAAGAAGTGTTATTTGTGCTTTAGTGAAAGAAAGAAACACTTATTTGCAGGCAATTCCAGCTTCATTGGGAGTCAGTGCCACGAAAGGTATCATGTTAACTCGCTTTCTGTTCCTCGCAAAGCTAAAGAAGCTATTGGAGGAATCGCTAAGCTTACTCATACAGACGGTAAATTCCTAGCCTAAATACATAGCTGAGTTGGATTTGAAGTGTATTTTTATGAGGTTTTAGTCATGGTGATGTGTGTGAGGCACATTATGTTGAACTGACCATATGTGATGACCGAGTACTCTTAGAGTATGTGAACCTTTGAGGTCCAGTTTCCACCCAAGTACAAATATTGATCCAGACTTGCTCATACATACATCATCAAATTGTGAATCCTGTATCTAATATTTGTCTCAAAGATACATCATTGATCCAGGTCTTAATTATGTTCAAATGATACTGATGTTTCAGGAAGGTCAATGGTGATCAATGTAGAGTACAATCAACTTGACCCATTGCTGAGAGCAACTGGGAATCCTGATGGAGATGTTAACTGTGAAACTGGCTATTCTCCTTTTCCAGGAAACATCAACCAGGTAATTCTTATGCATCTTCTTAATAAGTATATCTGCAGAAGTAGAGGATAAATAAGTGCTCCTTGTTGCTCCTGTATTCTTTTTGTTTTCTACTACTTTTGGGTTTGCTTGAGCTATTATAATACATGACAGTACCCTGCTTCAACCTGCGCACTTACACTATTATCGGATGATGTTATAGAAAATTGAGATGGTGTCCTAATCTTATATAGAGAAGAGGGGAATCCTATCACAAGCCATTTATATCCTCTCTCATATATAGGCCAACAATGCAGTATATGTAGTTGTATATTGGTTGTTAACAGTAGGTCCAGTACATGGATCATTCGTTTACAACTATAAACTGAATGCCTTGACTTATCTGTCGGCTTAATTTGTCTATATGGTCATCTTAATAGGTTCCTGACTTTACCTACCTATCTTATATTGTCATTGTTGCAGTTGATTATGGAACTTGGTCCGTACCTTGAGGAGCTGAAGAAAACTGGAGGAGCTATAAAGGAGTTCGTTAATCCAAAGTACTGCCTCTGCCACTGACTATGTTTGTGACATATTGTAAGTTGGCCTTATTGTGCCCGGAGAAACTTAAGAAGAAACATTGTTTCTTTCTTGATGCAGATACAAAGATGCCAGTAAAACTGCCTTTAAGTCATCCACCCGTCTGGAGTGCATGATGCAGGATTATCCAAAAACCTTACCTTCATCAGCAAGGGTTGGATTTACAGTAAGTTTGTAAAGAAGCACGTGCCTTATTCATCGGTCTGAACTTGCATTGTTTTCATGATGCTACCCTGATCATATAGTATTTTCTGCCAAAAATATGACGGGGATCTGATGAACTTGAAAATTTACAGTATGGGTTTTAACAGGCTTAGTTTTTGCCAGCAGTCTGCTATAGTAGCTATAGTCTGCTTATGTACTATGACTGTCTTCATATCCATGTTTTATATTTTTTGGCTTAGGTTATGGATGCATGGGTTGCTTATGCTCCAGTTAAGAATAACCCTGAGGATGCTGCCAAGGTGAGTCTGATGTTTTCTGAGTAAAATTTTATTCTATTGATGTTTGAGGAAATTAGACACTGTTAGGAGTTTGGTAGGTTTAGGTCTCAAATGATAGTAGTGATAGGCCACATTTTGATTTGACAGTATGGAAGGAAGAAAGGAAGTGGCTGTCTCCTGCCATTCAAATAGTATAGAAGTTAGGCTTATTTGTGCTTGTTTCCCACTTCGATGGACAACTAACTTCATCCACTTGATCCCTTATTTTAAAAGATGGATTTACATTCAAATTTCATGGTTTCTGTTTCTGTTGATTTCTGCCTGTCTTCTAAATCCAATCTTCGTTTCCTCCATTGGAATATAATTTTTGCTCTTAATAAAAGGTTATTTAATGAAGGTACCCAAAGGCAATCCATATCACAGTGCAACCTCTGGAGAAATGGCAGTCTATCGTGCAAACAGCCTCATTCTCAGAAAGGTACTTGTTGCTGTGTTTTTACGTTGAGACTGCTTGAATAACTTGTACATTTCCCCCGTCAACTATCAACTTTCTTCTGTTCATTGAACAGGCTGGCGTGCAAGTAGAAGATCCAGTGAAGCAGGAATTCAACGGGCAAGAGGTGGAAGTGTGGCCTCGTGTTGTATGGAAGCCAAAGTGGGGTCTAACATATGCAGACGTCAAGAAGAAAGTTACTGGAAGTTCCTCCATTTCCCAAAAGTCTACCTTAGCCCTTAAAGGTCGTAATATACTCATGAAAATCTCTCGTTAGATGGAGCTGTTGTGGTCGAGTCACATGATGAAGCTGAGGTAATTGACCGGCTTATATCAACCTGATCACGATTATGCTATGATGAAATGCTCGTTTCCTAAATTAAACATCCAATCGACAGGTGAAAGTAGGGGGTTCGGTCAAGAACAAGGGTTGGGCCATCGAGAAAGTGGACTACAAGGATACCTCAGCACCTGAGGAGTTGAGAATCAGAGGGTTCAGATTCCAGAAAGCGAGCAGCTCGAAAAACAGTACTCCAAACCTGGGAAATTCGAGTTGAAAGCTTGAGCACTTAAATCACTGAATGCAAGAACAACAACGAAGAGGAGATTTCTTCAGGTTGGACGTGTTCTGCTTCCCTCTTTTAGATGCATTTTGGCATTCTATCATTGTGGCAATGCACAAATAAAAGTAGAGATATTGTTTTTTTTTTTTTAAAAAGAAAGTAAATAGGCTGTCAAAAGTGATGGTTGGCCACATCGTACAGGAAATTCTTGTGTGATTATCTTCAATTATTTCTTCAGGAAAGAAGGGGTAAAAAAGTGTCATCGCGTTTACTTCTTTTCAGAATACGAAGATGTTTCTTTTAAGTTTGCAACGTTTCTGCAGCCTGCAGGTTTATCATTTTTCTGCGACGTCTCTTTTCATATATAATAATCTCTGTAGGTTCGTAGTTTCCACATACATTCAACGATTAAATAACGGGATGACATCAGTCCTTGCTGATGCCTATCTCATCAACTTACTGCTATGACGTTGAAGAATTATTGATATGGTTAGAATAGTTGTATGATTCTCCAATGCAACACGTGGACAGCCTCCAATCATATTTTCCGGTTGTGGACGGCAAACTGGTGTCACAGTCGTCTTTAGTTATTTGCAGCATTAGTTAGTGAACTAGAATTGGTCTCCCTCTGCCTTACTATTTTGACATAGGAGGACTTGGTTTTGGTTGAACGCAAGGCAAACTGTGTAGAATTATTGTGTGGCAACCGTCGATCGAGCAACCGTAATGTCAACTGTTTTGTTTGTTTGGTTTTTTTTTATTATTGTTGCTTTTAATGGTTGTTGTATTAATATTTGATTCATCATTTTGTTTCGATACAAAGAAGCAAAATTAGGGCAGCGAAGTGTGGACTGGGACCAACTCTAACGTACCGTCACCATTTGGTTTGTTGTTGGTTGGGATTTGGGGAGAATTGCTAAGAGCGAAAGAAAGGCTACGTTTTGGTCAATATAGCGGCTAAGGTTCTGCTTCTGCACCACCTAGCATTGCCGAACAAACATAGAGCACTTCTTTTTCTTGCCGGGCTGCCGGCTGCATCATATAGCTGACGATGCAGATGTTGAACAGGTAGTCGATCTTTATTGCAGCTGTTTGGATGCGAAGGTGTGTTCTTGTATTCTGCAGCAATCGATGTTCAGAAACATTGCGCTCTCAAGTCCCACATCTGTTGACGAACAAGAGTTTGGTTCGATTCTTTTAGTAGCATGACAATTTTTGTTTTTTTTTTTTAATGTAACCCTCATAAGAAATTAAAAAGAAAATCCGGCATCTGCTGATTGCAGCCTGCCAGTGCTGAACAGAAATGGTCCTCCTGTTCGTTCTGCATGCTTACTCAGTCCAGGACTTTGAATAGAGTTGCTTTTATTTTGTGTCTTTGGAATGAATGCAAAGGTCGCTGGAATTTATGAGCTTTAACGTCTGTGGTGCCGGCCACATATAACTAATAACGACCTCTCCTGAGAGATTGGAAAAGTACGACACCATATCCATATATGAAGGATAGCACTAGGGATGGCAACAAAACCCGAACCCACGGGTACCCACCCGACCCAACCCGGTCAACGCGGGTAAAATCCGTGTTGACGGGTTTTGGGCCGGGTTTGGGTTTAAACCCGTTCACTATTCACCGGGTTGGGTTGGGTTAGGGTTTAGGTAAACCCGACCCGTGGGTACCCGCCCACCCATATAATTAATTTTTTCGGTATATTTAATATTCTAAACAACTAATCTTATTTATGTTTGTGGAGACATGTCTAATTTTTTCTTTTTAATTGTGTAGAATGAAGTTGATGTTATGGAGTGGAGAGTAAAGAAACTTAATTGAAAGGAAGAAGCTTTCAATTAAACATGTTATTTATGGATAATTTGTGATTTGCTTCAATTTTCTTGAGTTTTCTAGATTGGTGTTGAACAATTTGTATAGTTAATTTGTGATTTGCTTGAATTTTCTAGAATGGTGTTTTATATATGGATAAGTTGTATTGAGAAATTGATATTTGACTTTAATTTTGATAAGAACTTGTAATTGTAAATTTTTTACGACAAAACCCGTGGGTACCCATGAACCCGCGGATACCCAACGGGTTGGGTTGGGTTTGAGTTTTTCAAACCCAGTGGGTTTTACCCCGGGTTTTTTTCAAAGATAAACCCATGGGTTTGGGTTTGGGTTTGGCAAAAA